AGTTTGATATATTGTAGAGTCTTTATTCAAAGATGGTAACGCTTTTAAAGCGTATCTAAACCCAAAAACCCATTTTTATATATTGCAGCTTAACAAACTTTAAATGTGGCCGCTGTATTCATTTTCTTTCTTAGCCTTTTTTTAAAACAATATATTTTTATTGAAATTTTTCATATTTATATGACAAAGTAAACAGTCACAAAGAGGTGCAAAATAAAATAAAAAAATACAGGAAAAAGCAATCAATATGTGATCAATTGGAACATTGTGTAGGTTATTAACCAAAATGAGTGTAACAAGTCTATGCATTATATATTTTCTTAGCCTTTTTTAATGTATCTTCACCTGGTGATCCAGCCAGTAACACACTTCCTGTCTTAGGGCCCATTCACACCACATTCAGATCATCTCCAGACCAGAACAGATTGTTTCCGGACCAAAAATGCGTACTAATGCATTCCTATGCTATTTTAGGCCTCTGTTCACACCAGCGCAGTCCATTCTAGACCAGACCAGAAAAAAAATTGCAGGTCTCATTTTGTCTGGTCTGGAATACCTGGAACTGCGGACAGGTTCACACCAGATCTGGTCCGGAAAATGGTGTGAACCTGCCCTTAGGGTGGCTCCACTCCATAAAGGAACAATGAAGCAACCTTTGGACTGCAGCATTTGCACCCTGTGGAGAGGCTAGTGTATTAGATGTACTAGAAGTACTAGTACTCCAGCTTTTTAAGCTGTTACAGCAACAGTTTTTCCCCCCTATTGTGATAAAGGTTTTACATAATAAAATCTGACCATTTTAAGCAGCCATGTCAGTATTACATTGTTTGTCTTCAGCCCTCTATCTGCCACTTCTGCTGGACAGCTTGATCTTCTAAAGGAAGTTGAAAAATATCAGATCACCAGGTGAAAATAAAGGAATAAAGCCTAAAGAAAGAACAGTCAAGATGAACATTGTTTGTTTTATTTCTCATTTATCCTGCTGGGCTGAATGAGACAAAAAGCTGGATTCCTCCATTCACGCTATGCCATTGTCAGAATACCCAAACAGCCGATTGGCTGCAGTCACTGTTCAGTCAAAATATTCTGCACCGGCTCCTTGGACAAAAGCGGATAGAAAAATTGACTTTTGTCGAATTTGGGGGGTACTAATGGGACCACACACTGGTCGATTTTCATCCAGTGTATGGTCAGCTTAATGAGGTGACCACATTTAGCTATTGATAAGCTTTAGCATATTACATTTTTGCTTTGGGGCCTAGATACACTTGTTGGTTACTTGTCTGTTTTATGTCCAGTAATAATCTAGGTTCATGCTGCTACATGATCATGCATTTTTGTAGCATGTTTATGCATTTTCATGCTGCATGCCTTTTTATTTTAGCCAATGACAATCAATAGCTGCTGTGACATCATTAGACGTAGTCATAGTCTTCCTTTGAGGAGACTTTAGGCACCAAAACACATGAACGTGCATTTTTTTTTGTGGGCTTTTGTTGAAGTCAATTGGACCAAATATGCACTGTGTAGCACCACAAGAATCACCACCACCTTCCCAAAGATCACACTGCACCATGTGGCATTGATGTGAATGAACACTCTTTTGACCATTAGTGGGTATTAAATAAATTATGAAGAACATGTGGCGTGTAACATTATATACATGCAAATCAAGTTTTTAATTTACCTATTTCATTTTCTGATAGATTAATTCTTTTAGTTGCCACTGTTTATGAACACCAATGATATTTGCACTTTTTTTTTTATTGGAAAAATATTTTCCGGAAACAACATTATCTCATCAAGCAATCCAAGGAAATGTATCTGCACTATGTAATTGGATGCAAATGTATTATTCACTAAATAAAGTTTGTACGCTTGTTCCATGTTTGGTGATGTTTCCTTCAGGTATTGTTTCATCTAGCACCCGAAAGCAAATATTGTATAAATACAAGAGCTATGTATATTCTTACTTACCTCACGACTGACACTGTTTCTTAATTATCTTTGCTATTTTGAAAAGCCAGCATAAAGGAAAAGGAAAAACAAAACAATTTTGGGTTTAACCAATCATTTTTGGTATATAAATTCTTGTTGGCCCGCAAAACTGGGATTGTGGCAGGGGTGTGTCCATTGCTTAAAAATATTGTGCCTGAAGGTGCCCTCCTTTTTTATCTCAGAATATTGGAAGCTATGCTTTTAGATTTGTATAGAAATCCTCTGTGAAATAACTCCTGCACTTTACTTCTCTGCAGTAGTTTCCTGTAATCTGAGTGCCCTTTGTGTATTCATTTGAGATTTGTTTAGTACTCCAGCATGAAACAATTCCTGCACTTTTCCTCTGGTGTTATATCTGGCCACCTATAAAACCAGCCCTGCCAAATAAGTTTCAAATCTGTCTCCTTTGCCTGGGGACAGTCCCCGTTACAAAGGCCCTGTCCCCGACAAACAAACGTCCATTTGCATTATACCACCTGGCAGTGAATGCAGAGGAATCAATCAAAGAAAGCTGTACCTCCAATTTTTGTTTGCATGAACGAGGGAGGAACTGCTACATATCTTATTGGCATTTACCTTATTGTCAGTCACAAATGTCCCAACACTTTCTTCTGCTAGGTATGTCTGTGAAGGTTCTCACTCATCCAGGTCATGATATATCTGTAAAAAAATAAGTGAAGGCAACTGAACTTGCTGTATTTTTCTGAATTGAGAAAGCTGGTTGGATGACCAGTGAAACGTCTTCAAGAAAAATACAGCAAGTCCAGTTGCCTTGACGTTTTTTACAGATATTCTGCTAGGTAGTCCTTCTGAAATGGACTTGCAAACCTACATGACGTGACCGTTTTGTGTAAAGGATGGTGTGGCATTTTGGTTATACACCTTTTCTTGAATTGGATATGGGAATGCCAACCTGTTTCCGAGGGTGAAATGGCAAATACATTTCCATTGATTCTATGGGAAAGCACTGACGTGCTGTGCGAAGGAGAGTAGACTATGGGGAAGATCACAATCGGGTGCTGTGGAATTGTACCTGCCCACAGCAGGAGGGGTAAGAAATGCACATCACCGCTTCTTCAGAAAACTACATGGTGGCCTATGTAGGCCTACGTGACCTGGAGTCATTTCTCCATAAGGAGAAAACGGCGGTGTCTGGCCTCACAACTTAGAAGTAGCGAGATGCAGAAGGAAGCTGTTTAGGGGAACAGAAACGGTATAAAAAGAACTACTGTGAAAGTCTTTGGACTTCCCTCTTCTTTGACACTTGACCTGCCGACAGTCACATCCAGCCTGTATACAGAGTTTTGGGTTAAAGTATACTTTTCAGATATTGCCAAATATGCTTTTTCCAGATCTGAAACATTGCATCAGTTCAACAAAATATCCAAACCTGTTGGGGTTGTGTTATGACTGTACACTGAGTGGCCAGTTTATTATGACCACCTGACGTTTGTAGCCAAATTAGCTATAATTTTGCGCTGAAGTTGCTAGAGGGCCAGACCGTTATAAATAGGGAAGCAGGTTGTTTACCCTGACAGTAGAAGTGATTTTTTTCCTGAAGATATGGGTAAACAACGCGATTTAACAGCCTTTGAACGTGGGATGATTGTTGGCGCGGAGCCATGGAGCGAGTATCAGCAAAACAGCAGAATTAATTAAATGTTCAAGAGGGGCTAATTGTTAAAGTGTTTAAAGACTGGACTGTCAGCCAAAAATCTGGGTCTGAACGTGCGAATTGTGGCCGTCAGCGACTAGTCAATGTTAGGGCAGAACGGAGAGTGGCAAGACTGGTACAAGACAACAGAAGGGTAACAATGCAGTGTCAGATTCCTCGCATCACCTTTCAACATCTCGTGGAGTCACAAGGCGGCTCAACGAAGTCATCTTGTGGAGTTATCTCGTGGCCCAACGAAGTACTGAATGGGTGGTCATAATAATCTGGCCACTCAGTGTATAATATGATGTGTAATCCTGTTATTTCATTCGCCATCCTAGCTAGCTGATAACCAATGAGCCACGAGTTTATTTCTATGTAATGTTACCTTTCAAATGTATCCTAGATCTCAGGCTAGTATGATTGTTATTGGGTAAGTGGTTTGCTTTTTGCATAACTTAAGTATAAATGCTAAAGTAAAATGAAATTTCTAGGTGCCTTTGTTTCTTCTGCTGAGAATCTTTGAAAGGGGACTGTGTTGTGAATTTATATTCTATTATCAAAGCTGCATATATGAAGGAATTAATACGTGACAGGAAGAATTGTAGTTGTTTGAAACCAAGTGTTATATATTCTGATCAGCCATTTGTTTTGACTTTGTACAAGTTATGCGAGCACCAACACACAGAAGTCACAAAAGAAAGAGAAAATGAAAGCACGTTTGTTATCAGGAGGATATCACTTACCCTAGAAAGTAACCTAGCAACCATAATTTATGATACGGGCAGTAAAATGGTATCTTAATTTGAAAAAAAGACATGTATTAAGAAAAGGCAAACATGCTAAATTAATACTATTGAAAGGTAAACAAAAAATAGATGAGGAATCTCAGTACATTTAACCCCTTCATGACTTGAACTTGTTTTTAGTTTCTGTTTGTTAATGACTGACTCACATGAAGGCTCTCATATAGGAGGATCAAAAGATAGCACACATGTACACCTTATTGAGATGTCAGGATTCAGCTAAGTTTTTTTTCTCATCTAGATAGGCCTGTTTATAGAGTTGCTGGATAAGTCCATGTACAATTTGGTATCTGGCTTTCATCCCAGGACCACCAAAACAATAAGGCAGTTTCTCAATAGTTTCTTTTGTTTTTACTACTACTCAAGGAAAATAGAAACATCATTTTTCAGAATAATGTTTGTAAAAATGCACTTGGGGTTGAGAGAGCCTTTTTTTTTCTGTGTATTACCACGGTTTGCCGCAATAGTGAACAATAAAAGTTTGTAATGCTTGCCAGGTAAGATAAACAGAAGGTTCAAAATAACTGTTTCTTCTATTTCAGTTTTTTACACAAAAGAAACCTCCTAGAGGACTTTATGTTTTTGGAGATGTTGGTAAGTTATAGAATAATACTGGAATTGAATCTAATTGCAGATATGACATTACTTGTTACTGAACATTATTTTAATGTGTTATACTCTGTGGTTAAAGTATAGGAGTTCTTAACTCTGCTGTTGGCTACTCTGGAATAACCTATACAGCAGAGTGGATTTTTCTATGTCTGTGGGCTCCAGGGACATGTTGGGAAAGGCAATGACTACTGGATTGCCGACCATCTTGGGATGCGAGTAAAAGGGATGCATAAGGGGATAAGCAGGATATTGTAGACTAGTTCATGGACAAGATTGTGTAATGGGTAAGATTACAGTTATAGCAGTGTAGGTAGTATAGGTCTAGGTGATACATGTCATCATTTTTTAATAGTACAGTTGATTTTGATATATAGCAAAGGGTTTGATGATGGCTACCAGATGGTCCATTTTAAAGAAATTTTATTTTTCTATAGGGATGTGAAAACACATAGTGGACATTTAGGTTGTTGGGCCTCCAGTGCGTCCCTGCACCTTATCAGGAGGAGTTGGCTACCTCCAGGTACACCTGCATCTAATTTATCAACTTCATTAATATGCTCACACTTGGAGACTTGTATACATAGAGTTAGGACCACACTTTGCAGAGGTGCCTTGGCGCGGCAGTGTGGCTTCTACATATTTTTGGCCAAAAGCTTGTGCAACTAAAACCTCTGATTTTAACGCATACTGTTGACAGGGCTACTTGTTTGGTTGCAGGCTGGCTGGCAGGTTGAGGCTGGGGAATTTCTGTGTTTTGTAACATAGTGGACATTTGTCTTTCTTTTCCAGCAAATATGTATGGATCTTGTCTTCAAGATATTTATAGATACTTGTCTATAATTTAACGAATACAGGACTTTTTTAGTCACATGACAGCGTTTGAATATATACAGAAGTGTAATGAAAGTTTAATATGTAAATACGTTTTTTTCTTATTTCAAGGTACTGGCAAGACTATGGTTATGGACATGTTTTTTTCACATGTTGAAGTGGAAAAGAAAAAGCGAGTTCACTTCCATGGGTTTATGCTTGATGTGCATGAAAGTAAGTTGGTTATACTATGACTTCTTTATACGTGCTATGTTAACAAGGTTTGCTTAAATATAGGGATGTTCAGATACCAGTATCGGTGTCGATACTTGGCATTTTCACAAGAACTACCAGGGTCACAGCTGAGACGGGGCCCTGTCGCTCTACCACTGTCCTGAAATCATTAGTCTGTATTGTTCTACAATAACTGTCACATGACACTAAAAAAAAAAAAGGTATCAGTAATTGGTATCTGTGAGTATTTGGACAAGTACATATATATATATCTCAAATCATACATTAAAGGAGAATTACACCCTCTTGTTTTTTTGCAGATATCTACTGCTAGCAAGCAGTAGATATATGCAAACACATAAAAAAAAAAATTAACAAAAAGATTAAACCTGTGTCTCCGCCGCACGCTCCCGTCCAGTTCTGAAAATTCTGGGGCGGCCGCAACGGATCATGGGGCGGGCGCATGTGCAGTAGAGATCTTCGGCCGGGAGAAGAGGAGAGATACAGGGTACGTCAATGCAGGCAGCTCGGCACCAACAGACTCCGTGGGACGGAAAGAGACAGGAATCAGCACTGGATCAGAGACCGGCATCAGCGCTGGAGGGACTGAAAACTAGTGGAAAGAAGTAGAGAATCGGATCAAGAGACATCATTTCAGGTAAGTCCTTAAAACAGCATGGGGAGGGGGATTTTTTTAAATTTTAATGTCACTTTAAAACAGGGATGTACAAATCCCAGAAGCCCTGTAGCCAATACTCCTTAAAAATGACAGCTGCCTCCTAACTTTTGAGTTTTTCTCTAGTCTAGTCTTGGAGCTGGAAAAGTATCGGTACTTGGTATCTGTGCATCCCTACTTAAAGACTTTAAAGTGACACTAAACTCAGGAGTTAAGCCTTATAAACATATTCAGGTATCTTAACTATTAGCAAAACGGTAGCTGATTTGTGTATCACTTGGCTATAGATCCTCAAATCATGTCAGAATTGGTGCCGACACCGTCCTTCCTTCTGAAGAGAGGCTAGTTTTATTCCCCATGGTCCCTGTGTGTTGTAAATTTTGTATGTGGCTATGTTAAAACTTTTTTTCTTTTCTTTTACCCAGGAATACATCGCCTTAAGAAAAGTTTACCACAAAGGAAAGCGGGATTTATGGCCAAGACCTATGACCCTATTGCCCCTATAGCTGAAGAAATAAGTGAAGAAGCCTGTTTGTTGTGTTTCGATGAGTTCCAGGTGAGTAACAGAAGACTAATACAGTTTTTTTGTTTTTGACTGGGGGTGCTTAATTTATTTTTGTCTAGTTCTCAGACATATAATGGTTCATTAGGAAAAAGGTTAGTGCAGTCCGCTTATGGCTATGGTAGGTGTATTCTCATTTTCTGTGGATGCTAATTAAGTTAACCCTGCTGTGTCAGCAGGTCACTGACCGTTATCAATGACTTCAAATCAGAGTCACTGATTTCCCAACTCGGTAGCTACAGTTTGCATGATCAGATTTGTCAAATAACAGTGAGGGAAGCGGATTGTGCACACTCATGCATTAGAGCATTTTTTTTTTACTCTATGCTACTTTTTCCTTATTAACATGGTACCTTAATAATCTGCTCCATCAGCTGTTTATTATGAACTCCTCCTGTCCCCAAAACGTGCTAAATGACTAAAATGTTAATATTTTGTCAAATGTCAGTATATATATCTCTCTCTATATATATATATGTGTGTGTGGAGGTGTCTGTGACATTCAGGCTTTGGTTGACACCCTGACTTCACCTTCTCTATGCTATGTGATAGACAAGATAGGAGTATCCAGTAGCAGAATAACTATGTGACAGACTGGAGCAGAATTTTTGTCTACTAACTCTGTATTGGTGAGTTTATAAACTGACTAGTTTATATAAGGCTGGGGTGTCTTTATATACTGGCAAAGGAAAAAACCCCAGGAGTTTTTGTGTTAAGTAATGTTATGCTATATGCCTAATCTGTTTTTACCTTACATTAAAAAATGAGAAGTTATCTTAGACTTCAAACACAAGATTTCCAGTGTTTTTATATAGTTGACAATGTACCTGCTAAATAGAAGAAGAAACACAGATAAGTCTGAAATTTTCAGCAGGATGCACATCATTTGTGCCAACACTAATTACTGGTTTTATATGCTTATATTTGCTATTCATTACGTGGCTCTGTACCAATCAGCAGATGACAGAGTCTCAGCCACTTACACATGTAAATTAACTATTAGATTTTTCTTTCCTCTTTTTTCTTACTTAAGTGAGTCATAATAGAAAGCAACTCTAGGTCATAATAAATCTTTTCTCTTAAATGCTAATGAAATTTCTCCATTCTCTTCATTAGTAGACTGCCATTAGTGGTAATTTGTAGCCTTCGCTTTTGTTCTACGGTATAATGAATGCTGGATACTATAAAAAAAAAAAAAAAACTATTACAAGAATACATTGCTCATTGTTTTCCTGCTTACTTCTCCCGCTCTGAAACAGAGCTGTAATTTTACAGTATAAGTAAGGGGACAAGATCAAAAGAGAGTAAATTGGCAAGCAAGCACATCAAGTGACTCTTGCTTTATTAATTAGATAGCTTTTACAAATCAATTTATTCTCCTAAGGCAAAAGGCATTTGAATCGTGCAGCATCAAAACACTACATTATAGCCCAGGGCAGATCTTTCCAACTTTTTTTTTTTCTTCTTCATCTATCTCATAGTTCAGTGCAGTCCTCTCAGTCACATAATCCAAATGTTATTACAGAGCTTTCCAAACACTGGTTCAGAAGTAATGTTTAGCTCTGTAAAAACGAAAATCATTACATCTATGTTATGGCAGAAAGAGGAGTTAAATGCACGTAAATTGCATGCCAATTATCTGAAGCTGCTCTATATTGCTTTGTACAAGCATGTTTTTTGTTAGTTGAGCCTCTGGTTAAGAGTAGCATTTTAAAATTACACCAGCACATTTGTCTCTGTTTTTATTCCCATTAGGAACAGATGTGGAGCATGATATAATTGCAGTTTGCAGGCTTTATTAATATAATACAGTTTACATTTAGATTATTTATTGTCCCTCCATATAACACTTTGATCCATATTGGCTAGATTTTGAAGGATGAAAAAAATTCAGAAAGCTTATTTCAAATGAGTGCATTTGTTACATTAGCTTTTCACATATTCTCTGAATGTTATAGTGCCAGTTCATGAATGTTATGATGCCAATGCAGGTTTGACAGGTCGAGTGCCAGTAAGAAAGCCATTGCTATGATGGCAAAACAAGAAAAAGAGGCGTTCCTGGGCAATGAAGCACTGCAGTGGACTACTGAAGATTGGAAGACGGTCTTATGGACCGATAGATCAAAATTTGAGATCTTTGGTTCATCACGCAGGGTTTTTGTACGCTGTCGAGTAGGTGATAGGATAGTTCCTTGGTGTGCAACACTAACTGTCAAACATGGTGGAGGAAGCGTGATGGTCTAGGGCTCTTTTGCTAGGTCCAGAGTCGGCGTCTTGCACAGAGTGAGTGCATCCTTGAATCAAAACTACTACCACAGCATTTTGCAGTACCATGCAATACCCTCTGGTGTACACCTGGTTGGTCAGGGGTTCATCCGACAGCAAGTTAATGACCCAAAACATACCTCCAGGCTGTGTCAGAACAACCTTAGAAGATAAGAACAAGAGAGTAGGCTTCAAATCATGGAATGGCCAGCACAGTCTCCAGACTTAAACCCCCATCTAGCTGGTTTGGGATGAACTGGACAGAAGGATGAGCAAAGCAACCTACAAGTGCAACGCATTTGTGGGAACTTCTGCAACAGTTTAAGGAAGAACTTTCCGAACAATATTTGATATAGAAAGAATGCCACGAGTGTATTCGGCTGTTATATCTGCACAAGGTGGATACTTTGATGTGTCAGAAAATTTATTGCAGGCACCAGGTCACTATTTAACCTTTACCTTGTCCATTCAGTCTGCCCTTGCATTTGTTCTGATCAACCAAATGTGCTGCCATTGTTTACGATTTCTGTGTATGATTCTGGCTCTGGCTGGCTGATCTGGTTCCTGACTCCGGCTTTGTTTCCGTTCATCCTGCTATCCGTGCTCCCTGACCTGGCTTGGCTGACTACCCGCTTCGACAGCTGACCCCTGGCTTGGCACTGACTACGTCCCTGACTTCCTCCATTGCTTTTTGCCATTTTATGTTTATTGTTGTTTTCAATAAACTCCTTTTTATATTTTAAACCTCCACTTTAAGTTTCAGTCTGGTCTCTTGGTTCTCTAACAAGCAGCCTATCTGCAAACCCTGGCATTGCAACTTCATGTTTGCGCATTGGATGGGGGACATTCCTATGGATATGCAAATTGCGAATTTGGAAAAAGTTGCTTTCTGCATAATTGCCCTCAGGCTAAAACAAATGAGTGGACAAAAAAAATAGCTGAAACAAATGAGTGGACACCTGTGCTGCCAAGAAGTTATAGGATCCAAGCCTCAAATAGGTTCACTTTAAGGATATGCGCTAACCTGTGCTTGTCAAGTGTTGGATTTCGTCGTCTAAGTCGGGATCCGCTCCGGCTGCGGCGTCTCAGAATACCGCAAGCTGTAACAGGAGGACGCTAGTTTGTGTCCTCCCGTTACCCTAAGGAGAACTATGGGGAAAAACACTGACCCCATAGTTCTCCTTTAAGGTCTGTTGGGGAAAGTGACTATGAGCAGTTGTTTAAAACTGCTCCAAGACTAAAGCTTCACCTACATATTTTTTCAAACTGGCCATCTGCTGAATTGTGTTGTTCAGTTAGCTTATAGTGTCCATATTGTTTGATTCCACTCCACAGCAGAGGACAAGTAACTGACTAAAGTGCTATAACTCAGAATCTCTTCATCTTTCAGCATTTATACCTTGAGAACAATAGGGATGTAAAATAGCATTCATGTTTTGTGTTGTTCATTATGTTGTATCTAATTAACAGGTTCACTCTAATGTTTGTTCCCAGTTTGTTCACTGAGCACTCTTATTCATTCAATAAAAATGATCTGATTTGCTTGATACAAATACAATAATATACAGGGATTTGTATTTGTGCTTTACATGCAAAATAGAATTTTTTTTGCTTAATTAAATTTGGGTGAGAAAATTGGGCACAGTGCGAAATCTTCCTTTAGATATTAGAATATTTTTGAAATGTACCATAACTAGGGGAAATGTATCATTGGCTGTTATTCCACAATGATTACAATTTTCAAAACTTCCTGATGTTTATGCCTTATGTGGCAGTGTAAGCCAATGCCACGGTGTAGGATGGCGACTTTGGCACCCAGGACTCTCAGCCAGAGGGGCTGAGAGGGTCCAGAATGTAAACAATGTTTTAAGGAAGAGCCTGGCTTTTCAGGTCCATCCAGGTTTTCCTATTTGTAGCTGGGATCTGAAGCTCTGGAGATTTCGTAGAGCTCTGGGTGGGATGAGATCTCCAGTCCTGGGGCCAGGTGTTGCCAATGACCAGCCTGGGCTAATCAGGTGGCTGAGAGCAGCCTTATGAGGAAGCCAGCCCAGTGCTCAGGGGAGTGTTGGAGTTGTGTGTGTGCAGGGAGCACACAGACCAACTCGGTTGCGTGCTGGACGCACACGGAACAGCCAGGGGTGGCTGGGAGAGGTCAGGAAGGTCGGTGACCCCAGGGACCTGTCCCAGCCACCCCTGGCTGTTCCAGCTGTAGTATGTTCCTCCGCATTTTCATGTCTAATAGATCTGTATTAGACATGATGATGTCATGGGTCCTTAGACTGCCAGAGTCAGGGGGAGAAGAAAATATAGGGACCGGTCTAGGAGCCAGGTGAGTATTTCTTCTTTATTTTCGTCCCCTAGACAAAACGAGCAGCTAACCCTTGCAGTGTGTGGGTAGCCCCACTACAAAGGTTAAAGGAGAACTATGAGGTCAGTGAAAATCACTCATGCTCATAGTTGGAGCTGACGTGTGACAATAAAACTGTCACAGATTGGCTCAATAGATCGGGAAGTGAGCGAACACATACCGTCGCTCGCTCACTTCTTGATCATCTCCCTGCAGAGAGCTGTGATTGTCACTTACCGCTCCCCGTAGGGATTCCTCTCTCTGATCCCCCAGCGCTGACTGGTGGAACAGATGGGGGAGGGGGTGAGTACAGCTGGCTCTGGGCATTCACGCAGCTGGGTGGATCTCAACAGCATTGTCGGGATCCGTCCCGGCTGCGGCGTTTCAGTATACCGCGGGCTGTAGCTCGTGGTATACTGGGCTTTGGGTCACGGGAGGACGCTAGTTTGTGTCCTCCCGTGGCCCTTAGGAGAACTATGGGGAAAAGCACTGACCCCATAGTTCTCCTTTAAACTTCAAACTTTTAAAAAGAAACATTTTAAAAAGGTTTTTTAGAGTGAAGCATAGTCATATTAACCAATGCTTACTTTTGAGTCTCATTATTAATATTTCTTTTTATTCTGTATATCCATCAGAATTTTTTGTTAATAAATGTCCTCCCGTGACCCTTAAGAGAACTATGGGGAAAAACACTTACCCCATAGTTCTCTTTTAACTTTTCAAAATCCTAGAGTTCCACTTTAAAATACATAACCTGAAATTGATAGAGTGTCATAGACACTCATTAGAAATCCATCTCACACCAGTGCAACAAATGCTGCAGCTTGCAACAGATTCATGCAACTGTTGGTAAGGTATATATCTGTTGTAGAATTACCTTTTAATAGAATTGAAATTACTTATTAAATACACATGCGACACAATTTACTCCAACATGGAAATGGTCTTATTTACCTCCACTTTTCTTATCACCAACATGGTGGTATTTCTTAATGAATTTTTCACAGCCACAGTGCCAAATTGTAAAAGTGTTGCACATAGCAAACGTCATTGAATTGGTCACATCCGTCAAAATAAACTGTTGCACGGCTTTTAGAAATTTGGCGCAGGACTTTCTACTACAGCCATAATGCCAGAAAGGTGTCACTGGTGCTTAATTGAATCCTCCACCAAATACTCTATTTGGTTATCTAAAAACAGTTTTTCTTCCCTTTCTTTACTTTGACCTCTCTTGTGTCTCTCACATCTTGTTTCCCTTATGTGTATATTTACTGAGTGTTTGCCTTTCATCCTTAATTGTTTCTTTTTTTTTGTCTTTGTGATATTCTGTCTGTACTTTATCTTCCTTGTGTTTCATCCTGCCTTTTGTCCCCCTCTTTATTCTCCTCATGCACACCTTGTGCATTTTCCCCCTCTTGCTCTGTCAATATGTTTTCTCTGCTACCTCATTCTTCGCTTTCTCCCACTGCCTTTCTGCCTCTTTGTTCCAATGTAGTACTTGCTGTCTATTTCTCCCTTGGTTTTTTCCCTCCAACCCTTGTCTTCCATTTTGTTTGCATTTAGCAAATTCAGTGTTTGCAAACAGTTAAGGCCCATTCACATAACATTAATGCATGGCTATATGTCTGTTCCAAATGGAATCCTAATGCATATATACAATAGTTCTTAGTGGACGTGGATCCACTTAACCCACCAGAACAGTTACTTTCAAGGCATGCCTACTGTCATGGTTGCCAGTGCGCTTATTTCAGCTTTCAACCAAACTTTCAAGCCCTTAAAAGGTTGGTGTTATAGTTGGTCACATGTGCAGGACCATGGCAACTGCAATTCAAAGGGAGGCTGCAATGGCATCTCCCTTAGCTGTAAGGGATGTAAGGTTGTAGTTCTGCTTTAATGCATCAGTCCTATAGCACAGCACACGCACTTCACGAAGTGAATGGGCTGTCTTAACGCAATGCATTGCAGCAATGTCAGTGGGCCCTTTTTTATGTCACAAAATAAGTCCTGAAATTTTATGAGATTTGGCAAGCGGCCCCCATAGGATAAGAGAATTTGTCCGGTGACCCCCAAGTCAGTTGACTTTGAGACCCTTGATCCAGATATTGAATGAGTCTTCGTGCACCTAATATCGTGGTTAATACATGTCAATAGTGTTCCACTCATGGCTAAGAACTGTATGTGAGCTTCCCTTAAAACTATGGTAAAAACAATACCTGAATTAAGAACCTAAATCTTGCTCCTGCTATTCAGAGATTTTTGAACTTTGGATTTGTGAGTTACATAAGGGCATGAAGTATGGGTATTGTTGACAGGCAGAGTTGGTGTTCTCTGATGATTTGCAGTCATGTAATGTTACATGATGATGGTTATAGTGCATACAGTTATATACTGTACACATACATATTAATATATCATGCTTCTTGTAAGAGCATTGCCTTTCTGGAGGATGGTTTACAGCTGTGCTGCAAAAAGGACCTGAAGAGTAGGGAAATTAGCCTGCACCAGGTGACATGGGGAGAAATCCCCCCCCCCCCCCCCCCCTAGACCCCCCCTATTTTGTTCAAACTAGGGTG